GCCAGTGCCCTACCCCTTTGAGCCATAGGAGCTGCCCTAAACAAATACATTTTCTAAGATGACAAAGTATGGTTATACAAAGTAGCAGCACTTCTATCTCACCTGAGCTCATCTCTTTGCTTTCAGGGATCATAGTTAACTTTTCAACATATAACATATTTAATCCCCTATAGAAGCAGATAGAGATCTCCAGAGGCAAAACCAACAACAATACTTATGATGAGAGACACCTGTGAATGATGGTCTACCACCTCTGACTATGGGCATTATAAGCTAAGGTCTTTATTGCTGTAAGATCCTAGAGCAATTTACCTTGTGCTCTTGGTGCCTATCCAGCAGGGCTTCGGCTCCAGCCACGTCGTTGGCAAGTTCATCTGCATTGATGAGGGCTTTCATCTCAGTCACCCAGCTGGTAAGGTCACGGAAGTCTGCAAGGAAGCGCTGGAGCCTAGGGAACACCACAGGTGAGTCACTGGATGTTTCCAGTGGAGGTCCCATGGTGGAAAATAGCCTTCCTAAAAGCTCTGAATTCTGTGTTCTCAAAAGTCTAACAAACCATACAAACTTTAGTCCTAGGAAATATAAAATTATCTCAACCAAGAATATAAACTAAAGCAAGAGAAGGCTGAAATTGGTCCTTTATTATTGTTTTTTCTTTTTTTAAAAACAGAGTCTCACTTTGTTGCCCTTGGTAAAGCACTATGGCATCACAGCTCACAGCAACCTCAAACTCTTAGCCTCAAGCGATTCTCTTGTCTCAACCTCCCAAGTAGCTGGGACTACAGGTGTCCATCACAATGCCTGGCTATTTATAGAGACGAGGTCTTGCTCTGGCTCAGGCTGGTCTTGAACTCATGAGGCTCAGGCAATCTACCTGCCTTGGCCTCCCAAAGTGCTGCGATTACAGGTGTGAGCCACTGCACCCAGCCTTGAAAATGATCCTTTAAAACTTAGGTTCTATCCACCACTCTTTCATCTTCTCACACATTTTCAATTGTCTTGTTATTCCCAGGTTTAGCCCCTGGTAGGAAGAGACATTCTTTTCCTTTCTAATCTTTGACTAAATTTTAACAAGATACTTCACATGATGCTCAGATCTATGGAAGTATTTCCACTTCCTTCAGGCACAATGCAGTGAAACAGGATGTAAGAATTTATAAAGTTAGGGTGGAGCCTATGGCTCAGTGAGTAGGGTGCCAGCCCCATATACCAAGGATGGCAGGTTCAAGCCTGGCCCCAGCCAAACTGCAACATAAAATAGTTGGGTGTTGTGATGGGTGCCTGTAGTACCAGCTACTTGGGAGGTTGAGGCAAGAAAATCACCTAAGCCCAAGAGCAGGAGGTTGCTGTAAGCTGTGATGCCACAGCACTCTACCAAGGGTGACAAAGTGAGGCTCTGTCTCAAAAAACAAAAACAAACAAACAAAAAAACCCCCAAGAATTTAAAAAGTTATGAATGCTGAGTGGCACCTGTGGCTCAGTGGGAAGGGCCCTGGCCCACTATATGGAGGGTGGTGGGTTCAAACCCAGCCCCGGCCAAACTGTAACAGAAAAATAGCTGGGCATTGTGGCGGCTACCTGTAGTCCCAGCTACTTGGGAGGCTGAGGCAAGAGAACCGCTTGGGCCTAGGAGTTGGAGGTTGCTGTGAACTGCGAGACGCCACGGCACTCTACCAAGGGCAACAGAGTGAGACTCTGTCTCTATTAAAAAAAAAAAAAAGTTATAAATGCTGGGCAGTGCCTGTGGCTCAATGAGTAGGCGCCGGCCACATATACAGAAGGTGGTGGGTCCAAACCCAGCCCTGGCCAAAAACTGCAAAAAAAAGTTACAAATGCTATAGCTATACCATACTTATACACCACAAAGCTGCCAGTCCCCAAACAAATACCACATAGATAAGAAAAAACCTGTCTTCATTTTCTTAGTAGGCGACACCTGGCAGGCTACAGAGAAACTGTTACGGAACATAGAATTGAACCTTAACTCTGATTTCCCCTTTCTCTAAAAATAAGTCAAATGATACCGGTTAAGCCCTAGGAGGATTATTTGTACCTGTATGAATCATTGAGCCTTGCATGTCTCTCTGCTGCCAGAGTTCGGATCTGTTCCCAGTTCGTAATCAGCTCCTCTCGCTTCACCTGAATCTGCGTAGCACTCAGAGGGTGGGACTGTTGTAGGCGGTCAGCTTCGGCACACAGGGCTTTGACCTAGAAGCACACTGTCAGAACTTTCTCCTGATCCTTGATAACTTATTTATAGAATCAGCTGCTCTCAAAACCCACCTTATCCTCTAGGGCAGCAAGATCTCTCTCTAGACCCTCATGCTTCCGAAGCAGAGCCTGAACACTTGCCAGGTCTCGGCCAAAATCATCGGAGGCCATTAACTGCTCCTTTTCTTTAATCCAACCGATGGTCTCATCCACATCTCTGAGGAGAGAGGACCCAGTTAATCCATACCAATGACAATTGTCCAGGAAAGTTGGGAACACCCTATGGGGTCCAAGACCGAATCAGCTCTAGCACCTCATTGGCCTAAGCCTTGAGAGAGGCTATGCCATCCAAGGAGATGCCCATCCCTTAAAGCCCTCTTTGGCTTGGTACCTGTTAAAGCGCTGAACCTCAGCAGCCCCGAAGAGCTTGCCCTGCCTCTGAAGAGCCAGTCCCTTCAGCCGCTGCCAGGCTGCATTTACTTCGTCCTGCTTAGTCTTAATCAACTCTTCTTCAGGGTGCTGTTCCTAAACGAGATAGACTGCATTGGATCCGGCTCTTCCAACCAGTTACCCTTTGGTTGTCTCCTTGAATTAACTGTGTTAGCCAATCTTCATCATTACGAAGAAAATCACAGAAGATGAAATACTAGTCTTCTGGGTGAAATGCAATGAACAACTCAAAA